AACATAAATAAACGAATCAAATCTTGTTTCTCAAGCCACTATAATGGTGTCCATGTTATCCCTTAATTCGTTATAATCCCTTAAACGGTACCGACAAATTTTAAATAGAAAACAAAAAAATATTTATAATAAAAAATAGAAATTTGGTAAAAATTTTTTGAAAAGTTTATCTAATCATTAATCTTTAATTTTGCTAACCAATAAAGTTTATTCAGAATTCTACGTTATTCGAGTGTTTGTTTTTTCAAGATATTATTTGAGTTTTAAATCAAAAAAAAAAAAATTAAAATGACTTTAACAATTGAAAATTTACTCGTTGATATTAAAGAAGAACGAAAGAAAACAAAAGTTGATGAAGGTAATTTTAAAATTATTATAAAATAATTTTAAGATAATCTTAAAATTTAATTAGATGATGATTTCATACTCATTCAACAAATAAATAATCAATGGCCAAAAATATTTGATATTTATTTTTTATCAACAACAACACGTCTTGTTCAATCATCAACTAGTACAACAAGTGATGATGATCTTATTTTTTATGTAACACGTAAATTAGTCAATAATTCTCATCATTCATCAGTAAGTTTTGAAAGATAAATTTCGATTAGAGTATTTAAAAAAATTTTTCTTTTATTAAGCATTTGGTAGAAGCTTTTCGACATCATGATACAAAACGTCAACCAAAATTAGTAAGAAATAATCGATAACAATTATAATAAACATAATAGATTTAGGCAGCACCAGACTATGATTGGGAGGAAACAACAAATCTTAATCTTGTTCTTCATCAATTTGAATATATAGTAACAACAGCTGTTTGTATTAAAACAAGTAGTAGACATTTACAAATTATAAAACGTTTATCAACAGTAAATAAATCTATTTAGTTTATAAAAAGAATTATAATATACACATTAGTTTTTTTGTTTTTTTGTTGTTGTATTTTTAGAGAGTTTATGCAAGTCCATCACGTCGTGATATGGAAAATAAAGGAACAGAAGAAAAAATAACATATCCAAATATTTATTTTACTGTTGATAATTTTGAAGATGTAAAATTATTGAGAAAAATTATTAAATTATATTTAAATATTTTGTTTTTTTTTTTTAGACATTTTGTGAAATGGTTGTAAATGAAGGTCAAATCGTATGTGTTGAATTAGTAGCTAAAAATCCTGTTTTAAATGAGTTAAAAGTTTTGTTTCTTGGTTCTATTAAATATGAGGCTTTAAAAAAAGTTTATGATCTTCGAGTAAATATTTAAAACGTACGTCAAACAAAGTTAATATTTAGAGAATTTTCTAGGCTACAACAAGTACTCGTGTTGCTCAACGTATGTCATTGGGAATGTATACAAAACGACGAATGGAATTTGTTCGAATGCGTGGACCGAATGTAAGTGTTTTTTTTTCTGCTTTAAAGCGAAAAGTTAAGTTAATACCTACATGATGATGCACATGTTTAAAACAAAACGTTAGAATTGAGATTTGACAAAGTCAAATCATAATCGAGTGAAAATTAAATTTTAAGTTCTCAAATCAAAAACGATTATTTATAATTTTTTTTTTTTATATTGATGAATTAAAAAGTATTAATCAAAGTTTTCGGTATAATATAGTTGATCAAATAAATGAAAATTACATTGAAAAGGAAAACGTTGTGAATAACTTTACAATAAATTAACAAAAAATTCATTATTGACTTTTTAGATAACAGATAAAAATATTAAATCTGAAGTTAATTTTAAGATTAAAATTTCATATTGTTGAATCAAATCTAACATACGACACAGGCTCAGACTATTCGAAGAATTGACAGAAATTTACAATTTGAAGTCATAACTTTTTACTCTACTTATAAGAAATAATAACTGTTTAATAGTTCTGTTTTAAATCCATTGCATTATTTTAATAGATCTAGAATCTTAATCTTCTTAGCTCAGCTATATTAGAAATAAGTAAAAATGGTGTATTTTGTAAATTCAATTTAAAGCCTCTATTTTTGACTTTATATTTTATCTTTCTAACACAGAGTCTATAAAGAATGGTATGATTCGGTTTTTTTGCTTTTTTATAAAGACAGCAACACGGTTTAAAGATAGTATTCTAAGTTCATTCGATCGAGTAGTTTTTGCTCTATAAAACTTTCGTCTTTGTTTTTCATACAAGTGAGCCAAAATATACTGCAAGATACGCTGTGAATTGCTGCATCTCACGATGTTTTGCAATTCTATAATAAAAACCAATTCGAAGAACAAATTTTTAAGCAAAAATTAAAAAGAAATGCAAAACACTCTTTCTCATAGTTCTATGACTTTGTAGACAATCTAAAGATTTTTGTTGTTCGATTTAAATATTGCATCATTGTGTTCAGAATTAAATTCTATATCCGATGATATCATGATAAACTGTTCATTAAGTACACTAACTTTTGAAAACACGTCTTTCGAAAGCGCATTCAAAACAAAATAATAACAGGTATTAATTGCAAGTCCTTCGCATCTAAACGATATCATTAGGCTGGCTGCAAAGATCCAGAAAGCATAAAGCATTAAAATTCTTCATCTATTGATGCTAAATATATTACATTTAGCATCGCACTTGATGCACACAAGCTTGCACAAATCATTAGATGTGTAGAGAAAATAGCAGAAGATTGCAGCTGTTAAGCATTTCAATTTTGCGTTGAAAAGCAAAACTTAAATAAAAAAAAAACAAAGTTCACACTTTTGTAGACCAAAAAGATTTTCTTTCGAGTAAGCTTAAAATGATGTCTTTGAACAGTGTTGATGTTCTTCAAAAAGTGAAAAATCAAACTGTCCCATTATCTATGAACCACTTATTAGTGAATTAGTTTACATTTTTATGTAATTAAAGTTCAAATAATATTTGATACAAAAGTAATTGGACTCAAATATCGTCACTTATCTCTTTACGATAGCAAAGCACTGGAAAAGTTTATTTTTTACCAGAAGCTAGAGAATCTTTTGCTCTGTTAGCTTGTATATAACCTGTTTACATTACACTTTCATAACCCCAATGATACAACTCGAAAGAGAAGCACCCTTAAAGAGTATCCGCAGTTTTCGTAAGATTTAGAAAATCGCTGTAAAAATGTTGTTTTCCATAACTCTTTGATAAACATGTTTTGAAACGAATAGTTTGTTACAGTCATTGGACGAGTACAAGTACAGCAAGTACCAGTAAAACTGAAGATACTTAAAAAATGTACTTTGTACTTTACTTAAATACTTTTTACTTGAGTAAATTTCAGTCAGTAGCGGTACTGTACTGAATTGTACTCAAGTACAGTATTTAAGTACATTAGAGTACTTAAAGCCATAATGTAGCGTAGCTGTACATTTAACACATTGATATCGATGTTAGGATGTGTGATACACACCTAACGTCTATAACTTAGCGACATATTAAGGAAAATGTATATGAATAATCATTATCACGATATTTCTATCTCCATTGTCATAAAACAGCCTCGGCATAAATGATCAACATTGATAACCAAGGAAAATTCAAAAGACATGAATTTATAGTGTGTAGGTTTAAATATTATGAATATTATGTAGACATTTCTGAGAATGCAAAGTAGTAATATATTAGAATATGTTGATATCCGGCTAAAGTACATTTTGTACTTAAATACTGGTACTTCAGTAAATGAGTACAAAGTTTTGTACTTCAGTAAAATCTTTCAGTACAAGTAAATTTACTGATACTGTTAGAATGTACTCAAGTAATCCTGAATACTCAGTAAAAGTATCAAAAATACTCAGTAAAATACTGAGTATCCAATCACTGGTTTGTTAACACAAAGAAGAGAAACATTTTACACAATAAATTTATAATTTTTATATGAACTCATTGACAACATCTTGTAAAATTACAGTTAGTTGTGATTGGCTATTATTTACAAGATATTTTTAATGAACTCATATGAAAATTATAAATTTATTGCTCG